ACGCAAGTGTGGCAACTTATGCAAGTGTGGCTAGTCTAAAGACTTAGACTGTTGACGCTGTTCTATTTTGTAGTGACTCAAAGTCACTGGAAAATGGAAACATTTTCAGATGCTGGCATTATTACAATATTGTACTTATAACAGATGCATGTACATGTAACTTGATAGCTGATATTTGAGTAAAGCTTAAAATATGAGCGTATAATAATGAGCATAATTGGATTTATTTCAAAGCATAATAGGGTGGAGTTTGGGGCAGTGCCTAAAAGTAGAAATTAATTGAGCTAGCCCTAATGACCAGACTATAGATAGTGAGGAAGAAGTGAGTGCAACATTTCAAGCTACTTTATAATGGCCTCTATGGTCAGTACCTCTTGCATTGATGACCTTACAGCTACAAGAATGGCTCAGTATAAGGAGATTTTATTATCACTTGAGTTAATAGGTCAAATTTCAGTCAAAGATCTTGCTGAAAAGGTTGCTATACCACTATCCACTGCTCTACAAGCAGTTCAAGATGCCTCAGAGTTTCAAAATGGTCTCCATGACCAGGAAGTAGTTGAAGCAGTTCAAAAAGTTCAAGAATTAGTCAATGAATTTTATATGCTTGCACGAGCTTTTATCATCAAGGCTCACTCACTTGCCAACTACATATACAGTGAAAAATTATACACAATCAAAGCAATTGAAGACGGTAATGCAGAAGAGTTGAAGGCCTACCTTGAAGAAGTGCTAGGCAAGTCACAAGCATGTCAAAAGGGCTTACAAGAATTGATAACATTCAATGGATATAATGGACAGAAAGCAACAAATGAACAGAAAGCAACAAATGAACAAATGAAAACAGGATTAAGCCACAGGATAAGTGCTCAAATGATTGCGGCTGGTGTGGCAGTAATGACACCAGCTGGACCAGTTCTTTTACCAGTTGGTCTAACAGTTGCGATTAGTACTCTTATTTTTGCTATATACAGTGATGTTGCTTACTCAAGGCAAAAAGAAATGGTTGCCTACTGTGAGAGAGCAATCAAAGCAATTGAAGAAATGAAATCTAATCTCCTGAAAATTGAAGAATCATTGAAAACCGTAAATGCAGCATTGAAAGCGGAAATTGATCATAATTATGAAGATATATCTGATTCCAAGCTTAAAAAGCTTAGTGAAAATAAGGGAGTAACCAAACAAGCTCTAAAACAAAAGGTACAAGAAGTAGCAGAAGGAGCGAATCGCTTGAAAGAGTACTGTGAACCTCTAAAAGAGTCAAAAAACCATAAGGAATTTATACAGAGGATTGCATCTACATCTTAAGATTAATGCTTTCATTCCTAAACTTGGAATTAGTTAGAGTAACATTTTAGTGTAGTTAGTTTTGTCAATTGCCATAACATTAATAATTATTAATAATTTTTGTTTAGTTAAATAATCTTATTCTTTTATTGATTTTTAATATAAATTATTGCACAAATCATTGTTTAATGTACACTCTATCACCAACTTTAATGCTACCAGGTGCAATGATACCATAGTCGGCTCCAAACAGAGGGCCACCTCCTGCATAGCGGCTGTTCTCTACTCCATACACTTGCTCATAGCTCCTGTATGTACGGAGGGTTTTTAATGGCTCTCCATCAGAAGACTTG